TTGCCTCAGGTAGAGTCCCGCCTCCTTCCAGGAAGCAGCTCACCTGTGTGTCTGTGTTTAGTGTCCAGGTGTGGAGTGGAGCTTGTTGTTGGTGTGTGTTTGAAGAAACTGTAAGTTTGCTTCGTTTCCTCCTTTAACAGTTTGTCTTTATGAACTTTACTGTTTGTTCTGCTTATGTTTGATTTCTTCATACAACAAACTGGTTTTATTTCCGTTCTCTCCAGTGTGTAATGTTTTCCTGGCTAACATCAGCTGTGTGCAGCTTAGTTCCAGCACAAACAGCACAAATCTGCCACTCCATAGTTCACGGTAACTGACTCACAGCTGGACCAACGAGGCAGAGTGTGTCCGCTGTTTTGAGCTACGTTCGTGTTTGTGTACATATGTATAATTTGTACTTTGTTTGTACTTATAGTTTGTACTTTGTGAGTTAGCCTTTACCGTCACTGTGATTAATATTTACACATGAGACACCTGCCAGAGCTCGAACGCTAAGGTAGCCAGACAGCATCCTAATGCTAAGAGCTCTAAAAGACACAAGTTAAAAATCTATTTGAGCGCTTTGTGAATGAAAGCAGCAGCAGCAGAGTTAGTTAATGGTCAGATGGTTACAGAAAAAGCAGCAGACTTTGTAAATGATGATTTATTCTAGCTGTAACTTTGACATGACATGACATGACAAGAAGTGATGCCTTAATGTTCAGCTGTCTGTGGATTAACTTCAGGAAATTTAGTTGCAGCTGTGAAATTAGGCCGACTGTGAGGAGGAAGTGTAATATGAAACAGGAAGCCTGTAAAAGCTGAAGTCACAGTGTCAACATGTCAGCAGAAAACCTCACCCATGACTGCTTCATCAACATGGATCTCTGAGTGTTTATTAAAGGATAATTGTGTGAAAGACGCTTTAACACAGCTGACTGCAGCCTTTAGCTGTGAGCACACAGTGTCTCATGTTCACATTCACTTTACTGTTAAATACACTCATTAACTTTAAAACAGCTGCTGTTATCAAGTGAAAATACAAAAGATGTCAGGGCTGGGCTGAGCCCCAGCGTTTCAACATCCTAGTAACTTCTCAGACAGTCAAAACTCATCAGAGCTTCTCATTATCATTAGGACAGATTTAGGTCAATATCATTTCACATTTCTGTGTCATCATCCATCAAATGTTGACACATAGTGGGTTTGTCATTCTCTTAGCTGACACTGAGATGAAGCAGCTGATATTTGGACAGTACAAGTGATGGAAAGGAGGAAATTTCAGTTGATGTGCACATGAATGATTTGTTTCCTCTGCAGGTAAAGGTAGAACGTGTGTGTGTGTGAGCTGATGTGGATGTGCATTCAGCAGCATGGATCAGTGTGAGGACAGAGAGGAGGGAGTCCCTCCCTCTAAAACCATTCAGAGGTGAGATGACCATCTCTAACTGTCCATGACTCTTCTCCATGTCACAGCTCAGCACTCACATCACTGCACATCACTCACAGGGACCAACCTGGACCTCCACCCATTTGTGTGTCCTTAAAGAGTGATGCGTCTATAAATGAAGCTGTTAGGTTTAAAGTCCAGCCTGTGTCTGCAGCAGAGAGGTGAGCTGTTAGTAACACAAACTCTTTG